TTGTGTCTGTGTGTGTGTGGCCAGCTCAGCCCACCAGGGGGCGGGGCTGGCTGGCATGTGGTGCTGGGGGATCGAACCGAGGTCCCTGTGCTTCGCCAAGCTTGTTTCAAGTAGGTGCTTTAGACCACTGAGCCATCTCTCCAGCCCCCTTTTTTTTTTTTTTGAGACATGGTCTCACACCGTAGAAGAAGCTGGCCTTGAACTCATTATGTAGCCTACACTGGCCTCAAATTCACAGTGATCTGGCACTCTTTCTACCTCAGCCTCCCAAATGCTAGAACTGCAAGTGTATGCCACCATGCCCAGCTTAAAGTTTCCCTGGGGGAGTTAGCTCAGTGACACGGCACCTGTCTGGAAAGCACTAGGTCCTGAGTTTGATTTGCAGTACCAAAAACAAACAAATAAAACAACAACAACAAAACCACCTTAAAACTTCTATTCTTTGAGACAGGGTCTCATTACATAGTCCAAAATGTAGTTTACTCTGGCCTTGAACTCAGTGTTTCTCAAGCTAGGTGCCCCTTTGGTAGCGCAGGGTGGGCTCAAATTCACAAACCTTCTGGGTCAACCTTCCAAGTCCTGGGATTACAGGCATGTGGCATCAAACCCAGCTTTCAGTAACTCTGACTAAAGCTGGGATTGAAGCTCTGTGGTAGAGGGCTTGTCAAACATGCCTGAGGTTAAAGGTTTGAGCCTTAGCACTAGAGACAAAATATATAAAAGTATGACAACTCAAGAAAAAGTAATTTATCTACCATTTCCACAAATACATTCATCCTACAGAGTTACATACAAGCATTTTCATATTTCATTGAATTCATATAAAAGCCTTGCATATCAGGCAGCTTCAGGGACAAGAAATCTAAACACAGAAAAATTCAATGACCTGTAAAAGTCTCACTGTTATAGCTTGTGTCCAGGTGGCCCCCAAAGCCTCATGTAATGGGTTGAGGAACTACTCTGTATGTCTGCTCCCTAACCCACTCCCTGGAAGGCCTGCCTTACGCACTGTCTCTCATCTTCCAAGCAAATTCTTTTTTTTTTGGCAGAACCAGGGATTGAACTTAGGCTCTTGCGCTTGTCAGGGAAGTGGTTATTCCACTGAGCCATCTCCCCAGCCCTCAAGCAAATTCTTTATCTGATCAACAATTGTTCTCACATTCAAAAGCACTTGTACGGCACAATTTGTGATAGCCAAATCTTGGAAACAACCAAGATGCCCATCACCCGAGGAATGGTTGAGAAAGATGTGGTATTTTTACACAATGGAGTATTATTCAGCTATTAAGAATGATAAACTGCAAGCCTTTATATTGAAGTGGATGCCACTTGAACATATACTCATAAGTGAAATAAACCAGACACACATGTGTAAATATCGTATAGTCTCCCTAGTATAAGAATTCCAAAGAAGAAATACAAATAGAAAGATATAATACAAGGAAAGGGAAAGCAGGATCTCAAGGACTAACTAATCAAGAGAGGGAAATGTGATGAGCTAGGAAACATGACAATGTTAAGCCATGCAGTTATATGTAAAAGTTGAGCAAGGCAATGATCCGGAGAATATTCAGAAGATTCTTTAATCTAGGAGTTAATTGGAAAGATTCTCACCCTGACTAACTATGTATACTGATATCTGTGAACTAAGCTACTGCACTGCAGATGGTAATTTGTAATAGTGGTTTCATATTGGGAGCGCCTGTCATTGTGGTATTCTGAACACGGGCTGCTTGTCATGACATGCCAGTTACTGCTAAGATGTCTCTCAGGTAGGTGGATGTTCAAGAAGGGGGTGGTGAATGAAAGCAAGAGACAGGAAAAGGAATACTGTGGGACAGTCCTGCTTCAAGGTTGTATATGGTGAGATTTTTGGACTTTTGTGCAAACATGAGAAGCACAGAATTCTTTATCCAATTTTTAAAATATAATCTAATTTTTAAATTTTTTTATCATATTATGTAGGGACTTAAGGTTCAACATATCAATACTTGATGAAAAATACCTGTTCCTTATTATGCCTAAGATGTTTGAAATGTAGTGAGATAGTGAGGTTAAGCTTGATAGCGTAAATCGTTTGATAATAACAATAAGCTTGTCTTCTGGATGGTTAACAACCTAAGTTTGCAGACCAAAATTAGAGAAAAAGGAGGGCTACAAGGAAAGCCAACATTTTGGCCCTACCCTTCTAAGGTCAATTAAGACTCAGGACATATGAGAACTTGTACTGTAACGTCATGTACCTCGGTAGTGTCCCAAATTTTCTGATCAAGAAGATAATGGGGCCAAAGAGGAAAGTGATTGATGACGTAGAGTGTGCCTAAGGAGAGTCACATGGGGAGAAGACACTCTCTCAGGCTTTCACAGAGAGCACATAGGCCAAGCATTGGCCGTGACTCATCCACATGGCTGACACTGACAAAGGTTCTACAATCTGAGGTACAGGATCTCAAGATAAATCCTGAGGGCATTTCACTGACCTTCTCAGACCCAAAAGCTACAACTCTTGTTGCACAGGTCCTGCTTTACCTTGGTCTTAACCATCCAGTAGAAAAGTATGAAGATGAAATATAGGAAGTAAAGCCATGTTGTTATGTTGAGCTGTGGGGGACTCAGGTCAATAATTTCTGACATTGCCAGTTAAACAGAAGACCCAATGACATTATGGGCTTCTATACTCTTTTAGAATATTTTGCTGAGTTTACACACCTATAATATTCAACAACGGAACTTAAAAAAAATTGGGGTATAACTATGAATGTCCATTTTGTATCTGTGTATTCAAAGTGGTTGGGATAGATATATAGTTGCATTCTCTTAATGAATAGACTGATTTTTTCTAATGGTGTTTGTAAGTAGGATCACAAGTCTGCATCTTATACAGCAATTAACCACTGAGAAGAATGTATGCAGTGTAATATTTGTTGAAACTGTACTTTCGATTTGATTTGAAACTGTCTCATTGCTATATGTTTATCAATAAAACTTTGAAAAGAAAACAAAAACAAAACAAAAAAAAAAAACAAAAGCACTTGTAAAACTTTCAGGTACAGCTTTTAAAAATGTCAGTAACATGCAATTAACTTACTTGGCAATCCGAAGTTTTCCAACTTCACCCCTTCCAGGGGCTTTAGCCCATTGCTGTGACAAATACTTAGGAACCTAAAACAAAGTAAAACATTTTTTAGGTGATGAATATGAGGTACTCAGAGATTATACAAATTTGCAATAGAAAGAATAAATAAAAAAGCCACAGTTTAAACCATGACAGTCTGGCTCCAAAGTTTATCTTCATATTTATTTATTTATTATTTTCTTTCTTTGGCTGGCTTAGGCTGCCTCTGGTGCGGCATATGGAGCTGGGGACTGAATCATGGTCCCTGCACCTGACTGAGTTTATCCAAGCAGGCACTTTAAACAACTGAGCTAACCCGCAAGTCCCCTACCCCCCTCACCAGAGTCCACTTTCTTAATCAATGTATTACATTGTATCTGTAACAGGATACACGCCACCTGATGGGTTTTAATTCTAAAAAAGAAAACCGGAATAATGTATGTTGACCCTTACTTCACATTTTCTGAGAAGCAGTACATGCCATGAAGATTATTCTATTATGAGGAATAAATGAGATACTTTATATAAAGTATAAAGCAGATACTTTATGCAAAGCTAGTACTCAGTGAGTGTTATTTGTCACTGTAATTTCTCTTGGTAGTCTTGGAATAGTAAAAACATGAATGACTGAGTCAGAGGCTGTTGACAAAGCTGGGAAGGAAAAAAAAATCTATGTAGCAAGATTTCATTTAGAGGAAAAAATCTTGACTATTAGTCAAATAAATTGCAGGATGATGAATATGTAAGAATTACGAAACAACGGTAAAAGACCCTGATGGTATTTGTTCAATTATGCATATATCCTTCATGCTAAAACTGACAGAACCACTGCTAGGTTTCAGACAATATGCTAGAGGTTGAGAAGGAAGAAGGGAAAGGAAGCCAATAGTGTGAGATACCATGCTAGACATTATATATGCATTAACCCATTTAATACTTCCAATCACCCTGTAAAATTTCTATCATTCTCTTCATTCTATACATGAGAAAACTAAATCTGAGAGGGTTTTTGTTGTTGTTTTGTATTTGAAATAGGGTCTTGTTATGTAGTGAAGGCTAGCCTTAAACTCACTATGTAGCCCACATTGACCTTGAACTAACTATGTACCCCAGACTAGTGTTGAACTCACAGCAATCCTGCATCAGCCTTGAATCTGAGGTTTCAAACAACAGGTAGCTAGTATCAGATACAAGATTTGACTCTAGGTCTGATCACATATGCTTAAAAAACAGATTATCCAAATGGTCTAAGAGCAAGATTTAACATGTTAATAAGATTTTAACTATACTCTTCTTTACTAGTTCAAACAAGCTTAGAGAATCTGGCAAACTCCTTATGATAACTGTCTCTACACATTAGATCTTCTTTGATTATGGACGACAGAAAGTCTCCTTAAACATAGACAGGATTTACTGCCCAAGTAAATAAAATTCCTGAAGTAGTTTTAAGGAGCTAGATTAAGGCTCAAATGATGTTACTAGGACTTTCACCATTTCTTATCTCTCCTGTCCTCCAAACTGACTCAATTCTTAAACAGCCTCCCCTTGAAGAGCTAAACGGCTAAAGCAGCTCCTATAGAGCAAGCACAGCTCCTTTTCAAGTCTCTAGCCCCAATGTGTTTCTTCATATGCCTATCAGTGGACCTATCATTGTACTCAGAGATGAGATATTTTTTCAGTGGCCAGAGTCAATGACATCTTTGGGGAAGGGTAGTGAACACCATTAAAATTATACAAACTAAAAACAAGAAGTAATAGTTTCCATAAGTAAAATCAAGGTGCCGCTTCAATTTTACAGTAGGCATGTACTGATTAGTCAAAAAAAGCAGTAAGTGGTGCTATGTAACTCAGGGTCTATATGCAGAAAAATGAAGCTACAAATATCCCTCTCATCAGTTACAAAAGGTACGCAAAACTGGTTGTCTCAGTTACTTATTACTCATTGCTGGGACAAAATACCGGACACCCAGAAATAAGGAAAGAAAGTGGAGGTTTCAGTCTATACTCAGCAAAGCAGAGTGGCACATGGCAGAGGGTAGCAGTTCATGGTGGCAGAATGCAGTAAAACAGCAAGAGCAGGGGCTGGAGAGATGGCTCAGTGGTCTAGAGCACCTACTTGGAACAAGCTTGGCAAAGTACAGGGACCACGGTTCGATCCCCCAGCACCACATGCCAGCCAGCTGCGCCCCCTGGTGGGCTGAGCTGGCCACACACACACACACACACACACACACACACACACAATAAATAAATGTTTAAAAAAAATTTAAAATAAAAAAAAAAAAACAGCAAGAGCAAATGGGAAGAATAGCAGCAACAATGGCTATAGAGAGCAAATCTGTCTTCCTTATGTTGCATTCAGGTTATCTGCCCCAGGCTGGGTGTAGTACTCACATCCATAATCACAGCACTGGATCATGAATTAATCACAAACTCTAGATGTCCACCCCATGACTACATGAGGCTTTGGGGGGACACCTAGACATAAACCATAACACTAGTTAAAGACTTAAATGTAAGCCAAAAATAATGAAACTGTTAGGCAAGTAGTTAGACATTAGCAGGCACAAGGGAAAAAGGGGTCCAAAACAGAACTTTTCTTTTTGCCATTAGTTAAATGAAGAAAAGAAGATCTCAGCATATAACACATTTATAATCATTTATTAGATCTCCGAAGCATACAAGAGACACAGGGCCTCTACTTCTAGAATATGGCGTATAAAGTTCCTGGTTGCCAGAGCCTACAGGCTCAATATCAGAAAGAGGAACATTGTTTAAATACCTTCCCTGTCTTGGGCTGACAATTAATTTAGAAGAGAACTCTTGTAAAGTTCATCTGAAAGGGCTGGTGAGATGGCTCAGTGGTCTGGAGCACCTGCTTAGAACAAGCTTGGCAAAGCACAGGGACCACGGTTCAGTCCCCAAGCACCACATGCCAGCCAGCCCCACCCCCTGGTGGGCTGAGCTGGCCACACACACACACACACACATAAATAAATAAAATTTTTTTAAAAAGTTCATCTGTAAGTTTCTTATATGATTAAATCAGGAAATCATTTTGCAACAGTAACATTACCCAACTATTGGTTAAAGACTTCAATAAATGTAAGGCCAAAAATAATGAAGCCATTAGGAAGTAGTTAGACATCAGCAGGCACAGGGAACGAGGGGTGCTACTCGCATAGATATGTATATGGCACTGTCTATCATATCTTTTCACTCAAAAGCATCATTCTATCTGTATCTGCTCTACATTAAACTCTGCCTATAATTGTGCACAGCTACCTAAATATATGGTCTGAATTATTTTACCAAAGACATAAAGAACTGAAGAAAAAGAGTCAGTTCCTTGTGGCATCAGGACCAGGCTTCCTGGTGAAAAAAATTATTAGAAGAAAATATAGGGGTAGTGCTTCAGGACATTGGAATAGACTTGGAATATTTTTATGTATTTTTTATTTTGGACAAGACAACCAAGTACAGGAAGCAAAAGCAAATGTAGGCAAATAGAATTACATCAAATTAAAAAGCTGCTGTACAGCAAAGTAAACAACAGACTGAAGAAAGCCTACAGGATGGGAGAAGTATCTGCAAACTACAAATAAGAAGGGGTTAACATCCAGAATACATAAACACCTCGAAAAACTCAATAGCAAAACAAAACAAAGTGATTTAAAAGTTGGTGGAAGGGCTAAATATGTAGATCTTCTCAAGACATACAAAGGCCAACAAGTATTTGAAAAAAAATGCTCTATGTTATTAATTATCAATGCAAAATCAAATGCAAATCAAAACCTGTTAGGTATCATCTTACTCTATTAAGAATGGCTATTATCAAAAAACAGTAACAGGATGGAGGATGTGGACAAAAGGAAACCCTTGTACACTGCTGATATGAATATAAATTAGTACAGTCATTATGGAAGATAATTTATAGAAGTTTCTCAAAAAATTAAAAATAAAACTACATATGATCCAGTAATTTTACTCCTGGGTACAGACCCAAAAGAAATGAAATCAAGAGGTGTGGAGATAGCTCAGTGGCCTAAGCTCCTGCCTAGGCAAGTGCAAGGACCCAAGTTCTATTCCCAGTACCACATACTGTGCTGGTCCCGCCCATGCGCACTGAGCTGGCCACCAAGGCCAGGCATGATGGCGCACACCTGTAATTCCAGCGGTGGGGAGGCTGAAACAGGAGGATCACTATGAGTCTGACCTGCATAGTAAGACCCCCAAATACATTAAGAAAGAAATGAAATCAATATCGGCATTTTCATGTTACCTGAGCACTACTCACAATAGTCAACAGATGGATAAAACTTACTGATACACAGATCAAGGAAACATGATGCCTACATGCAGGGTAATACTATTCAAACATAACAAAGAGGGCCAGGGAGATAGCTCAGTGGAATAAGTACTTGCTTGGCAAGCTCAAGATCCTGAGTTCAATCCCTGGTACCACCAAAAAAAAAACAAAAACCCAACAACAAAGAAAGAAATCCTGTCATTTGTGACAACATGAATATAACAAGATTATTAAGTGAACCAAACAAAGACCAGAAAGACAAGTACTGCATGAACTCACTTATGAGTGGAACATTAAAAAAAAAAAAAAAGTTGATCTCACAGAAATTGAGAGTAGACTAGTATTTACCAGAGTCTACAAAGGTTAGGAGGAAAGGTTAAGAATGATGAATGGATTCTATATTGAAGTTAGAACTTTTAGTGCACCATTGTATGTACGATAGGGTGACTAAGACTATATTACCACATACCACAAAGAAAAGTGGGGAAAGCATTTTGAATATTTCTCCATAAATAAGTGTTAACATCATATGGCTTCTCAGTAATATGCACAATTTTTATGTCTGTATCAGTTAAAATTTTTCATTAACAAAAAGAAATATAACCTTGGTAAATTTTTAAAAAGCAACAGATGTTTACAAGTATGAGATTTATAGAAATACTACGGCAATATCAAATAAAAATTTTGAATCCTTGAACCACATGAAATACCACCTTATGATCTTAATCTTGAAATATT